CTGGCACCCCTTTCCCCTTTGCTCTGGACGCCCAACATGGGTACAGTCGGGGCGTTGACCTAAGGAACCCTAAATAGGGAACGAGGCTCCTTAAACTTCGATTCCCCATCGAAAACACGAGGAAAACCTGAGGCAAACTGTGAAACAATCAAGGGACACGGAGCCCCTCCCCAACGAAAAGGGTTCCTTCTTCAGCACCCCGACTGTACGGCAAAAAACGGTACAGTGCCCGACAACAAATGCTGCCCCAAACCAACAGCGGCCGCTCTCGGGCAGGCGGCCTCGTGCTTCGAACGAGCACGGGCCGCGGCGACACCGACAGCGAGTCCTGCTCAAAGTGCGCAGGAGGAGGAGGAGGAGGAGGAGGAGGAGGAGGTGGAGGAGGAGCAGGAGGAGGAGGAGGCGGAGGAGGAGAAAGAGGTGGAGGAGGAGGAGCAGGATGAGGAGGAGGAGGCGGAGGAGGAGGAGGAGGAGGAGGAGGAGGAGGCGACACCGACTGCTGTCCCCTTTCGATCGCCCCGATTGGGACGGCACGAGGGCAGAGCACGGACGGCGCCGCCGGATGCTCGGCCCCGGGGTTCCCAGCGGATCCGACCAGGCCGCCTCTCTTCGCGCCTCGCGCCTTCGCGCCCCGCGCCCTCGCGCCCGCCTTGGTGCAAACAACGGCCGTTCTGGCGCAGGCCGCGACGCGCGATGATCGTCGCGACCCCGCGGGCAAACTTCGCCTTGAAGGGTGTCGGTCAGGCGCCGCGACCTCGTCGGAACTGATTGGTCTCCGAGGGCTGTAGAACTGACGGGCTCCTCCCCGGCGGTGGTCACGCCAGTGTGAGAGGCGGGGGGGGGGCAAGAAAACAATCCAGCAGGCCTTCCAGTGGCAAAAACAAAAAACAGCTGGAATGACAACGCTGGCAATCGTACTCTGCATCCCAGACAAGGGTCTGCTCCATTAACTTCCCATGCATATTCAGAAGAGTCTGCACCAATGCCTTCGCCAATAAAAAACTTCGCGGGTCCCTCCCCACCTCCTCACCCTCCCATCCACCCACATGTCGCAAGTCGAAATATCATTCCCCCATACCCCGTTTCCTCATGTTTCGGTCCGCGCTGTCGCTTGCAACCGCAATTCCCCCGCCGAGCTGAAGGCCCACAGGGCTGGGAGAAGCAGCTTGGCACCGGAAGGCCCACAAACAAATGAAAGTAGCGGGAAAATAAAAGGGAGGAGGAGGAAGAGGAGATGGAGGAGGAGGAGGAAGGAAGAGGAGGAGGAGGAGGAAGAGGAGGAGGAGGAGGAAGAGGGCGACGACGACGAGCGGGATGGGGGCGAGCACGACGAGGAGGAGGAGGAAAGGCACGCGGAAAGGCACGCGGAAAGGGAGCCTGCGGGCAGCAAGAAGACGACGGGGGGGGCGATGGGCAGGAGGAGCAGGGATCGGAATCGGAATCGACTCTTGGGGCAGTTCAATCAGCTCGTCTTTGTGAGAAGCCTGGGCCACTCCTGGCGATTCTCGCCAGTTTATAACTCGAAACTGCTTGCCTATTCGCCCTGAGGACCTGCCAAGCAGGAACACTGCACGGGCGGTCTGGAGTACCGTCTCTGGCCGACAAAGCCGACGGACCCCCCCGCACCATCACAAAAACCAATGTGTGTGCTTCCGTGGACAGCTCGTTACACCAACCACGCGCCACTCCTGGCCCAGGATTGCGGGTGCACGAACACAGACCCGCATTCCAGGGTCGGGGAGCAGCAAGGGCAGGTCAACAAACTCCCCACTGTGAAAATAATTACCCAGGGACGTACCGCACCCTTTGGCAACAGGTGGCATTGTCAACCGGCGCTTTCAAAATAGCTGAACATCCGCTGGACGTCCAAGAGGCCCACGAAAGCGACGACCAGTGCATTCTTGGCAATCGCCGCGCTTGAGGGTCAAGCGGTGTACTTCGCTCAACGAAGAATCGGCGCCCCGCGCTCTCGAGGGACAGCGCTGCGCACTGCGCTACAGGACGGCGCCGCGGGACCGATCAGCGAACAGCGCTCCGCGCTCGATCCTGGTGTCCACATACTGCCTGCACCAGGGCCACGCCTTCTGTACCCCCCTCCGCGCTCTCCCATGCCACGGAGAAACAGCGACGCGCGCTCGGGCCACAATGATCCCCCCGCAGGGAGCCGCGAAGTCCCGACGCGATCCGCGTGTCACCCCCACTCCGCTGGGCCTCCCAGGAGCCCACGAAAGTGCCGACAGTTGCGCAAGTTGGCAGCTCCCCCCGCAGGGAACCGCGAGGTCCCGAAGCGATCCGCGTGTCACCCCCACTCCGCTGGGCCTCCCAGGAGCCCACGAAAGTGCCGACCGTTGCGCAGTTGGCAGCTCCCCCCGCAGGGAGCCGCGAGGTCCCGACGCGATCCGCGTGTCACCCCCACTCCGCTGGGCCTCCCAGTAGCCCACGAAAGTGCCGACAGTTGCGCAGTTGGCAGCTCCCCCCGCAGGGGGCCGCGAGGTCCAGACGCGATCTGCGTGTCCCCCCGCTCCGCTGGGCCTCCCAGGAGCCCGCGAAAGTGCCGACCGTTGCGCAGTTGGCAGCTCCCCCCGCAGGGAGCCGCGAGGTCCCGGCGCGATCTGCGTGTCCCCCCGCTCCGCTGGGCCTCCCGGGAGCCCACGAAAGTGCCGACAGTTGCGCAGTTGGCAGCTCCCCCCGCAGGGAGCCGCGAGGTCTCGACGTGACCCGCGTGTCCCCCCACTCCGCTGGGCCTCCCAGGAACCCACGAATGTGCCGGCAGTTGCGCAGTTGGCCGCTCCCCCCGCAGGGAGCCGCGAGGTCCCGACGCGATCCGCGTGTAACCCCACTCCGCTGGGCCTCCCAGGAGCCCACGAAAGTGCCGACAATAGCGCAATTCTCAGCCCCCCCCGCAGGGAGCCGCGAGGTCCCGACGCGATCCGCGTGTAACCCCACTCCGCTGGGCCTCCCCAGAGCCAACGAAAGTGCCGACAGTTGCGCAGTTGGCCGCTCCCCCCGCAGGGAGCCGCGAGGTCCCGACGCGATCCGCGTGTAACCCCACCCCGCTGGGCCTCCCAGGAGCCCACGAAAGTGCCGGCAGTTGCGGAGTTGGCAGCTCCCACCCAGAAAACCGCGAGGTCCAAACGCGATCCGCGTGTCACCCCCACTCCGCAAGGCCTCCCAGGAGCCCACGAAAGTGCCGGCAGTTGCGGAGTTGGCAGCTCCCCCCGCAGGGAGCCGCGAGGTCTCGACGAGATCCGCGTGTCACCCCCGCTCCGCTGGGCCTCCCAGGAACCCACGAAAGTGCCGACAGTTGCGCAAGTTGGCAGCTCCCCCCGCAGGGAGCCGCGAGGTCCCGAAGCGATCCGCGTGTCACCCCCACTCCGCTGGGCCCTCCCTGGAACCCACAAAAGTGCCGACAGTTGCGCAGTTGGCCGCTCCCCCCGCAGGGAGCCGCGAGGTCCCGACGCGATCCGCGTGTAACCCCACTCCGCTGGGCCTCCCAGGAGCCTACGAAAGTGCCGACCGTTGCGCAGTTGGCAGCTCCCCCCGCAGGGAGCCGCGAGGTCTCGACGCGATCCGCGTGTCTCCCTCCGCCCCGCTGGGCCCCCCAGGAGCCCGCGAAAGTGCCGACAGTTGCGCGGTTGGCAGCTCCCCCCGCAGGGAGCCGCGAGGTCTCGACGCGATCTGCGTGTCCCCCCACTCCGCTGGGCCTCCCAGGAGCCCACGAAAGTGCCGACCGTTGCGCAGTTGGCAGCTCCCCCCGCAGGGAGCCGCGAGGTCTCGACGCGACCCGCGTGTCCCCCCACTCCGCTGGGCCTCCCAGGAGCCACGAAAGTGCCGACAGTTGCGCAGTTGGCAGCTCCACCCGCAGGGAGCCGCGAGGTCTCGACGCGATCTGCGTGTCCCCCCGCTCCGCTGGGCCTCCCAAGAGCCCACGAAAGTGCCGACAATTGCGCAGTTGGCAGCTCCCCCCGCAGGGAGCCGCGAGGTCTCGACGCTATCTGCGTGTCCCCCCGCTCCGCTGGGCCTCCCAGGAGCCCACGAAAGTGCCGACAGTTGCGCAGTTGGCAGCTCCCCCCGCAGGGAGCCGCGAGGTCCCGACGCGATCCGCGTGTAACCCCACTCCGCTGGGCCTCCCAGAACCCCACGAAAGTGCCGACGGTTGCGAGTTGGCAGCTCCCCCCGCAGGGAGCCGCGAGGTCTCGACGCGATCCGCGTGTCCCCCCACTCCGCCGGGCCTCCCAGGATCCCACGAAAGTGCCGACAGTTGCGCAGTTGGCAGCTCCCCCCGCAGGGAGCCGCGAGGTCTCGACGCGATCTGCGTGCCCCCCCACTCCGCTGGGCCTCCCAGGAGCCGACAAAAGTGCCGACAGTTGTGCAGTTGGCAGCTTCCCCCGCAGGGAGCAGCGAGGTCCCGGCGCGATCTGCGTGTCCCCCCACTCCGTTGGGCCTCCCAGGAGCCCACGAAAGTGCCGACAGTTGCGCAAGTTGGCAGCTCCCCCTGCAGGGAGCCGCGAGGTCCCGACGCGATCCGCGTGTAACCCCACTCCGCTGGGCCTCCCAGAACCCCACGAAAGTGCTGACAGTTGAGCAAGATCGCAGGAGGCGACAGATGCGCAGATCGCAGCCCCCCAGAGGTCGCCGCGAGGACGAGGTAGGAGGCAGGAGGGAGGTGGGCGGGAGGACGGGGCGACCAGAGTGCTCTATTCAAAACGAGTACCCAACCAAGGGAGGGTTGGGAATCAAAAAATGAAGAAGCTGAGAGTTAAGCCCCAGCGTGCCACTCTCCAGGCTGCCGAGGTGCGCGCGATGGGGGGTGACCACTGCTGCGATCAACGAGCAACTCCACGGCGACAACGACAGGCTCGACGACCTCAATGACATTCCGTCTGTCGGTCACCCTCCCCCTCTGCCTCCGCACTAGAGGCTGCAAAACGAGACTGGCTGAAGCAACTCCGGGATGCATCAAAGCGGCCTCAAAGGTCACTTGGCCTCGTTCCACCGAC